CATCCAATAAAGGATGGAGATTCTCCTTGGCTCTCTTCTTGTCATTAACATATTTGTAAAAACTTTTTTTGTTGTCTCTAACGACAGCGACCAGATTGCATTCTAGCTGGGCTTTTGCCTTTCTTGTTTCCTCTCTGCACGACCTAATGAGATCCCTGTACTCTTCTTGAGTCGCCTGCCCCTTCTTCCACAAGTGGTAAACTCTCCTTTTTTTCCTGAGTCCCAGCAAAAGCTCCCCGTTCAGCCAGGCCGGTCGTCTTCCCCGCTTGTTCTTCTCTACGGCGTATGGGGACAGCCTGCTCCTGTGCCTTTAAGACTTCCTTCTTGAAGAACATCCAGCCTTCCTGGACCCCTTTGCCCTTCAGGACTGTCTCCCAAGGGACTCTCTCAACCAGCATCCTGAACAGGCCAAAGTCTGCCCCCTGGAAGTCCATGGTTGCGGTTTTGCTGGCCCCCCTTCTTACTTCACCAAGAATCGAGAATTCTATCATTTCATGGTCGCTAAGCCCAAGACGGCCTCCGACCACCACATCTCCCACCAGTCCTTCTCTGTTTGTAAAGAGCAGGCCGAGCGAGGTGCCTCCCCTGGTAGGCTCACTTACCAGCTGTGTCAGGAAGTTGTCTTCCACACATGACAGCTGATTTTTAGGCGCATGGAGTAAGGCCTAAATTTTTAGGGGTATCGCAGGGCAGTTTGCACCTTCAATGTGAATGGTGTAAGCAAGGCTGCTGTTCAAGGTGTCAGGCTCATTGCACGCTCCACACTGGCTGCCTGCCCCTGAAACTGTGCGCTACTGACCTGCTCTCTGGTCACAGGGGTCTGGATAAATAGCCTGAGGGAAGGAGTAGGGTAAGAACCAGACCAGCTGGAATGACAGAAGTTCCAGTGTGACAGAAGGAAAAGCTTTTCCACCATTAGGACAGCTGAGCAATAGGGCCATCCAGAGAGGTTTGGAGTCTCCATCCTTGGAGGTTTTCAAGACCCGGCTGGGTGAAGCCCTGACCACCCTGGTCTGATCTCACAGAAGACCTGGCTCTGAGCAGATGGCTGGACTCAAGACCTCCAGCTGTCCCCTTCAGCCTGGACTGCTCTGCAATTTGGTGTTTCTGTTAGCATTCCAAACCTGGCTAATTAGCTTTCTTTATAGCCATATTAAATCACTTAACCTTGCTCTCACTGTATTCCTCAGTCACAGAAGGTGGGTAAGAGCATCTTTATCATCAAGGAATTATTTGTTTGGACGATCATTTTGCACTCAGTAAACAATATTGTTTTAACTGTTTTTATGTGTAAAGATAAAATAGGCTGTGCAAGCTCTTAAATGACCAGGTAGGAGAGTTGCAAGTTACTAGACTCTGGGTCACCCGGAACCTTGCAGCACTTGAATCCCAAATTTACACTGCAATTTCCACTTGAGAAACATTTCAATGTTCACAGCCATACATAGGCTAACACAAGCACTGAGGGCTTACATCTCCTTTAGCAAGATTTCCAGAGTGATTTAAAACATGTTGCTTGAGTTTTTCGTATGAGCATTCCACTTTGGAATGTGCTAAACTTTAAAGTGCCATCCTGCTGATCTTTCCCAGTTTGTCAGGTCAGCCTCTGCACAACGGCGTGACATAGTGGGGAGGAACAGTTACGTTTCTTAGGGACAGGGTGTGGGCTAAAACACAAAAAGACTGATATTAAAATATTTTCATGTGATCAGTTTTAAAGTTAAGGAAAGGCTTCGTGCCAGAGCTTGTATCTGAGTCTTAGTGGGGCTCGGGGTAATTGTTGAAATCTCTAGTTGTTTGTTTTCAGTGCACCTTGCTGAGTGACAGGCGAAACACTGAACCACCCTGGCAAGTCTTGTATCTAGCTTTGCAGATCTTGGACTTGACTTCTGTGCTCTTCAGCTGCATGTAGGCTTCAGTTCATACTCAAACAGATGGACTATTTCCTTTTCATTAGCTTATCCCTTTGGTTTTGATTGCTGACAGATCTGGGACCACATTCATGACCAACTCAGAAATTCCTGTTGAAAGTAATGGTGGGATAGAGTCATTTAAGACATTACATAGTTCTCTTATTTCTAAGTGATTTTAATAGCTACAAATCAAGTTACCCACAGTGCTGTTCGCTGGTACTTATTGAATTGTTGCCTGCTGGTGGCCAGGCTAAGTTGATTACGTGTCTGGAGACTGCCACTTCCCTTGCACGCATTTTATCAAGGAAAAGCTCTGCTAAAGGTTCAGAAGTAGGCACACGTTATTTTTCACACAGGGTCATCGCCTCTCTTTCCTCTTGCTGTATTTGTCGGTATTCCTGATGCGAAGCCGGGAGACGTTTCTCGGCAGCCAGCGTTGCAGCAGCAGGTGCTTGCGTGGTCAGGAAGCCAGTGTGGAGGCTGGAGGCGTGAGTCTGGCATGTGCGTCCCTGCCCACACTGGTCTTGGTTTAGCTGGTACTGACAAGCCTCGCTGAGAAGGTGCCACAGCACCTGCTGCAGCAGGGCTTGGGCAGGCTCTCCAGGAATCAGAAATATGTACTGGGGCAGCAAGCTTATGTTAAACCCTGCACTGATGTGTTTTTCTGTGAGATTCTCATCTTGGGTAGCTAGACTGCAGCTAGCTTGGGCTTGCCTGCAACTGCTGCCGTCTTATCTCCAGTTGCATTGCCCAATTCACCCCAGAAATGTGCAAAAAATGCACATTTAGAACATGTGTGGAAATAACATCAAAGTGAAGTATCTTACTTGATCAAACACAGCTTAAGTGAATTAAATAGCCTGTTTAATTTACGTATTAGGTTGCTCTTGCTAGAAGAGTGCAGCCTGTGTTCACGTGCCTGTTTTGTACTGTAGGATCAACAAAACATGTAGGTTGCCTGATGCCAACGCAAGTATTTGTCAGTGATTTCTTTTGTGTATGTTTTTCACTAGTCCATATTCCGGAAGGCGTAAGAAGTCAAGCAACGATGACTTTTTGTTAACAATAGAAAAATAAGATATATGATGCTACCTAAAGAATACATCATAATGTAAACAAGGTGTTATAAGTGTTGTAGCTTGTATAATATAATAAAACCAGCATCTTGCCTGTTTTCTCCTTACTCCTTGTCAGTTATCTAAATGTCACCTGCTGTACCAAGGCAGCTCAGAAAGACACATGCATTGCTACCCTGCTTGTGAACTGCAGCACTTAAGGCAATGTTGCTGGGTGTGCATGTATCACTTTTATTCACCTACCTTACACTTGGATTTCTTTCTGCTCTTCATTTAGTTTTGTTCCACTGGGATAGTACAGTAGAATAGTTTAACACTAGTACATTGTTGGTCGTTAGTAATTTCAGAGCCATGTAACAAAAAGGGTATTTAGTGAAAGGGAATCATAGACAGATGAGAGAACTATTCTGAATTCTCAGCCTTGTACTGCGGTCATCAGCATTTTTCTGGACCATTCTTGTTTTTAAAAAATTGAAATTATACAGTATGAATGCAGTTTCTGGATGAGGAATATATTGTTTGTACTTTTAAAATTAATATCAAGTTAATATTGTTGATATTTTAGAGTATTTTTATGTTAATGTAAGAATAAATTGTGTCCTTGCTCTCAGGAAAGATGCCATGAGGGTTAAAATTAAGAAAATTTTAAGTATGTTGTTATGTTTGGATAGATCTCTTATTTTGCCATCTTCATTTTACAATTTTCTCTTCTTAACATAATCTTCCAGTCTCTAATATATATATAAGGAATTGGGAGTATAAAAACCAGTAAAATCAAATGGACAATGAATTCTTAGCACCAAAGAACAATTACATATTGAATATAAAACTTAAAGGAGGGAAGAACCTGCAGAATTGGAGAAATATATTGCTAAAGTCTTGTTGGCAGATTTTTACACCACTGCACATAGTATACTTTTATTTCAGTCTAGTAAACAGGACATTAGAGCTTAACAGTCTACTAGGGATAGATTGTGCCAAAATACAGTAAGATGTCTGAGAAGGAGGATCGGGTTACAATAATGAAATAACCAGATGTGAAAATTGTATCGTCAGCCTGTCACTCTGCCTCTTTGAATCCTTTTATAGTTGTTTTTTTCCTGAACCAAACCTAAATGCATTCAGTGGAAAGCTTTTTCTTGAGCAAGTCTCTCCATTTCTCTTGAGCTAGTCTTCTTGACTCCTCATTCAAATCTTCTGCTTAATACTGGTTTTTAAAACCCATTTGCTTTGTAATACTTTGCAATAGCCTTTGCTTGGTAACCCTTTAACCTCTCTGGTTGAATCTGTGGCCAGGCTATTACCTGCTGCTGTGCTGCGACTGGAGAGGCTACTGCATCCTTGTTCTTTCCTTTAACACTTTGGGGGAAGTCATTCCATCTCTCTGTGCTTCAGGTTTTTTATCAGAAACATGATAGCAATTTTTTTAAATCTAGATTTTGATTTTTTTCTGTGGGGGTTTTCTTAGTGCATGGATCATATCTGAGGAAGTCTTTGCTCAGTAGCTAGTGTGACTGCTGTGAATAATTAACAGAGATCCTAGTATCTCCTCTGTCAGGACTCCAAATTATTTTGTTGCCATACTTTATAAAACTTGTTTGACATGAGAAAGTCAGGATGAGGATGGTGTGTTACAATTTGTACTACAATTTTTATGGATTATGGAAAATGATTAAAAAATAAGGCTAAAAAATTGCACAATGTGTTTTGAATTTTTAATATTTTCTAAAGAGCTTTGCAAAGACATGAAGTTAATTCTTGCAGTATAGCATGAAGATCAATATGTGGACTATAATGACTCCCAAATAGAATTAGATATAGATAATGCTTCTACTAAAACATGATTTATTAAAATGTTTTTGCCATAAATGCTCTTGTTCTGTTTGAGGAAATGGGATGAACAACATGACTTCCTTTGTTTGCTTTTGAGATCCCACTCCCTTTTTCTTTTTCTTTTTTTTTTCTTTTTTTTGTTTTTTTTCTTTTGATCCTTTGCAAAGAGCTGGAATGGTGTCCTCCTGGAAACTGCTAAATCACCCTTGCCAGAGAGAGATTACTCAGAGGACGCATAAAAATATTTGCTGAGAACAGATTTTAATGTTTTAGCAATGATCCAGTTTGTCTAAAATTGGTATTACCTCTACATGGTTGCATGTTATACTGAAGGATGCTTGCCAGCCATGGGTAAACTCTGCTAGTGAGAATGGGTAAAAGTTTGCTGTTGTCAATAGCAAATGTTTCCTGGGACTTGAGTTTATATCCAAATTATTCTGTAGCTTGGAGGGATTTGGTCTATGGTTTTGGTTCAGAGATACCTGTAGAAGCAACCAAAAAGGCAAATGTCTCTTGGGAATAGAAAAAAGCATTAATCAAAGTAATAACAACAGAATACTGAGGTTTTCATAGATATGAAACTTGTACAATTGAATAGTAAACAGTGGATCACATCCAGAAAATTAAAAGGAGAAGGCAGTGCTTAGCAAAATGTAAGTAGCGTTTTGGGGACCTGTGAACTATAAAAGATGATGATGGGATGAAGTCGGCATGGGAAATTATGCTTTTGTTGTTTGACTCAAAATGACATTTTGAAGAAATGTTACTTAGCTGTGTATCCAATAAGTCCATCATTACTTGCCATTAAATAGGTAGAAGACGACTTTTGGGGAGAGAAGCAAAAGCATTGTGTAGAAATCAGAGGTCATGCAATACTATACTCTAAAGCATCCCTTACCTCTTCAGATTATCACTCAATTAATAGTCAATAAGGGTTGGGAATCAGACCAAAGAAAACAGTCGCCCATCAAGCCAGGTTCTGTTGTTGTCTGTCTGGAAAGGTGCTCTATTAGAATTGTCAGAGAGGGGTTCCAAAACTTATAATTGGGTAGTCCTGCAGACAATAAGTATATGTTGCAAAAATGCAAAGGGTGAAATATTTTTTGAGTGAAATAATCTCATTAATTTTCTTAGAAGAGGTGCAGCACAGATCTGGCAGAAACAGGTAAGAAATGCATGTAAAATTAGGTGCTTCAACTTGTAATTGTCAGAAGTTTCCTTTGCTTTACTCCCAGGTCTGCAAAGTGATTCTTTATTCTGTTCCCATAGGTGCCTATCTACCTAATCTGAGAGAGCTGAAGTTGAACAATAGCTTGCTTGTGTCTGTGAGGTAAGAAATGAATGATAACTGAAATAAACATAAAGAATAACAGCCCTCAATTTTATTTAAGTGATAAAATCTTCATTTGTGCTGCTTTCATTTCTTCCATTTCCCCATGCTGTGATAATGGATTAGGTCATGAATATATGCTCCGCAACCACATAAGTTTAAGGACAGGACCTGAGCTGGAATAAATCAGTGTAGCTGCAATGATGCCAATGAAGTAGCCCCAGTCTGCCACCAAGGAAGTTCTTGCCATGCTGAAGTCCATGGAAATTTGTCGCAAATTTGAAAGGAGCTAGAAATTCGCCTCTTATCTATGTCTAGGCACTTGGATTTCAGAGTGTTTCAGCCTTCGGGCTTTTATTGTGCACAGTAGCCTGTTCTATACAGGTCAGGCCAGTTCCTCAGCTGATGAAAATCACTTTGGCTTTATTGAAGTCAATGAGGTTGGGTTTATGAAAGCTGCTATGAAGACTGCATGTCCCTGGCTTGCTGAGCTCCATGAAAGCATCACACGTTTTCTCTCAGAGAACTGGGAAGTTGGCAGGTTGGGAAGGTAGAAGTGAAAATCATCACAATGAGGAGGCAGAGCTGTCTTCTCTCTCTTGTGCTGATATCTATTACCCTTGGTAATTAATGCATAATGGAAAAGTACAGTTCACATCAATAAAGGGCTGTGTGAAAGGCCATCTTTATGTTAAACGTGACTGCTCTCTGGCTTTGTATGGCTATCTGCTAAATTTGTGGGGGAAAAAAAAAGTGATTTTGCTAATTCTTGTTAAAGAGAACATGTTCCCTGATGGGAAACGGCAATAAATTCTTCTTGGTCTCATGCATCATCACTAAAGTAGCTAACGAACTTCAGTTGTCCCACTTTGATCTTATTTTCCCTTGTTCTGGTGATGTGATGAAATATTTGCAGTCTAAATTCTTTTTTCCACCTTCTAGTACATAACATGGAAAAGTGGTGATTCTACATTGCTGCAATTATTTTAATGGCAACCAACCACTGTCATAAGCATGAAATTGCTCCATTATTGCAATGGAGGAGTAAGTAGTGGGTGAAAAAAATTATATTTTTGACTATCAAAAGACATTTTATTATATTAAAAAGAAAAATAAAATTAAAAGAGTTTTTTTGTTTGGTCAAAAATCCATATTCTCTTAAAATGTGTCAATGGAAAATGTTTTGACCAGTTCTGTTGGTATTGAATACAGGATGCAGTTCAGGAAAACTAAACTGTTTAGTTTATTTGACTTATGGCTTTAGTAGGATTTTGCACATCCCTTTGTATTCTGAGACTCTTAACTTCTGTCATTAAAAGTTTTGGCAAACCATTTTCTGTGACCTGACATCCTTGTGGTCCTCGATGCAGGTAATGTTTGGTCTCAAGTTGAGTTTTGATTTGATCAACTATAACGTAAATATGTTTTGGCTTGGATATCAAGTCTAATATTGTGATGCTTCCCAGGCACACAAACCCCAGGAGAAGCTACCTGCTCCTCCTTTAAATAAGCATGCTTTCTGTGTGCTGGTTAAATGCAATTGTTGAGGAACAGGTAAGACTGTTAGCTCTCCCAGACCAGAACTCGGTCAGTATAGTACAGCAGTAGCTTTCCTTTATTAATTCCCATCTTTGGCAATCTGTCATTGATAAACACAGATCACTTAAGGGCACAGCCCATGCAAGCACAGCCTGGGTACTTGAACTTTATTTTTGGATGTCTGCATCATGTCAATTTAATGTCCATTAAAACAACGTTGTTGTCACGGCAGTAGCGATGTCTGCTATAGCTAATGTAACATAGCTGTTTCCATTCTAGCAGACTGTTGCCATTTACTCAAAAATGTTTAGAAATCTTATTTCTGAATTAAACTTGTTGATGTTTGAATTCTGTCCAAAAAGTGATTATTTTGTTATATTTGACCAAACCCTTGCAACTGAGGTTTTTGAGGCTGATAGAAAAAGTGTTCTTCCTTCTCACTAAAAGTAATTCCCACCGACTTTCTCAGCTATAAGGTCAGAATCATTGTGGTTGTAATTTGAAAGTGGGCAGCAGATAACAGGAAATGTCTCATAAGGACAGACTGGAAGATTGGTTTGTTTACTGAAAAGAAGGTAAGAACAGAAAAGCAGGCAAAAGAAAGACGGTGTTTCATATATACTTGGGATGTTAAAAGCAGACATTCTTTTCATGCTATATTATGTGAAAAAAAAGTATCATGGTGAATCATTATGAACAAAAGACTGTCAGTGTGTATGCATGAGTGGGTAGTAAGATGGGAAACTTGCTTTTTGTCACTTTATTTTTGTTTGGGTCTGTCTTGCAGAGTAGAACTTCCTAATTATTTTAGGATTAAATGGAATTAAAACATCTTTTTTCAGTTTGAAAATGGGGGAAGAATTCTTGTGATAGTAAACTGCATATAGGGAGATGTCAAAATAAGGATTTGTGATCCTGATTTTAGTTACCGATTTTTTTTGAAACGTTTACTCCTGTCAACCTCACATAGGAACTTAAGTTGTGAGGATGCTGAGGTGTGCGTTGCCATTTGCCGTTCAACAGAAATCAAAGGAGGGATGTTCTGACAGTGAGGAATCAAGGTACTCGTGTGTTACAATTTTCTATGGGAGAGCAAGGCTTGCTGCATTGGTGAGTTTGGATATTGGCTTTTCCTGGTAGTTCCTGAAGGAGTTCTAGTTCCTTTGGTGGGGAATGTGGTTGAGCTACTTTAGTTGTAAATTCATGGTCCCTCCCCAACCCTCCTAAAGCTTGTGTTACTTCTGAATACTTGAAACTTTGAAAGGCTATATATAAGTGTAGGATATCACTATCAACTATTTAAATTAATCCATAAGGAAAATAGATCCAAGTTTATTTGCAGATAATCCATCTTGGCGGCTGAAAGGGAATTCCTTTTTTGACTGTTTCTGGGTTTTAGTTTTCTGCTGGCCCTTTGCTAAAGGGGAACGGCACTGGAAAATCCAGTGTACCGTGGAAAGAAATTAGTTCAGATTGTTGTTAATTTTCTAAATCGCACTAATTTTATGAGGTCCTGGTTTGGTGACCTTTGCCCATCTGCTGGCAGCTAAGAAATTCTAGATTTATGAACTGATAATTGAGGATGAAATGTGGAGCCTATTCTGAAAAGTGCCTGTTAAAAACTGCCTCTTTTTTTGTGATGACACACAGTCCTCGTCTTTGTAATGTTTCCAGTAAAAGAACTATATTTCAAGGCCAATGAATTACTACTTCTGCTTTGGCATATAGCCTATGTATTTTTTATCAGATTGCTTTTATTCTCAATTCAGGAATGAATGAAAAGATCTGTTTAAAAAAGTTGGATAGATATCTTTATGAAAAGGCTTTTAAATCAGATAGGGGAATCTCAGGAACTGGTTCCCATAAGTTTATAGCAGAAGCTGTTTCACAAGCTGAAGTTCATTTCCTCCCAATCAGCTCTACGCGTTGTAGCCAGCAGAAGACTGGTCTGCTCCCAGGGCTACTTAAGCAACTGCTTGTAACAGAGAGAGGTTATTATATTTTAAGTGAGATGAAATGCAGAGACTGCAGAATGTGGGAACAAAAGTAAGTATGAGGCATATGGGGAAAGGAAAGCAGATTTCCTTCATCCAGATAGAGTTAACATTTCTTTGCTGCAGTCTGCATTGCATGCAGTTCTGATTGCTCTTGCCCTATTGCAGAAAAGTCGCCCAGAACAAGAGGACAGTAATCCTGGTCCATTTGGGTCAGTAAAGTCCTATTGGGAGAGTGGAAATGAGACAGCTGTCCTGAAGGTTCAAATGAGCAAGGTGCAGAGTACATTCAAATTCAACAATTCTCATGTGTTTATGAGTCTTAGGATAGATTTTTATTTCTTTTTTAACACCAGCTCCTGGGGACAAGACTGGCTACACAGGAATCTCTGTATTAACTTTTTGAAAAGTTTCAAGCCCTCTTGACTGTGAAAAAATAACTGAAAATGTCAGCCAAATGATTTGAGTAAGGATTTTGCTGATCATTTCATGACTTTAAGAAACCAGAGCCAAACTAATTCTTTCTTAATTGAGGGCAAGCTTTAAAAACAGGGCTTTAAACCAATGTTTAAAAATATTTTTGAGACCTGAATCAGGATCTTTAGGAATTTGAACTTGGTGATATTACTCCTTGGTACTTATCCAACAAAGAGTTTAAGCAAATGCTCACCTCTTAAAGTCACAAGAAGTTTGACTTCAGTGGAACTGCTCGCAAGCTGAAAAGTGAACATTAGTCCAAGTGCTTTGCTCGATCTGGACCAACAAAATGGCCTCAAGTTGTGCCAGGGGAGGTTTAAATCGGATATTAGGGAAAATTTCTTCACTGAAAGGGTTATCAAGCACTGGAACAGGCTGCCCAGGGAAGTGGTTGAGTCACCATCCCTGGAGGTATTTAAACGACATGTAGATGTGGTGCTTAGGATATGGTTTAGTGGTGGCTTGGTAGTGTTAGGTATATGGTTGGACTTGATGATCTGAAAGGTCTTTTCCAACCCAAATGATTCTATGAGTCTATGATTCTAAGTTACACCATCTTGTATATGACCGAGCCACAACACTGACCAACCCAAAATTTGATGTATTGCTGATAGTGCGTGTCTAGGCACCCACTATTTGCTGGATCATTTTCTCTCAAACAGAAGAGGTTTAGGGGCATCATTCCCCTAAATTTGTTTCTTCCTTGTCATTTTTACTTATTCCTTTCCTTGCTCTTTTTATTCTCCAGTTTGCTTTTTCTTCTGCCTGTCATCTCTAATTTTTTGCAATTGCTGGATTACTATGTCTGATGCACGTAACATAGGTACTACACGTAAATGCAACGAGTTTTGTGCAACAAGGATCAGCGTTGCTTTTATGATAGATAAAATCCAAAAATATTTTCTAAAATCAATTCAGTTAGTTTGCATTAAAGATGCAAATGTTTGTCAACAGATGATTTATTTGTATTACAGTATTTTCTGACAGTGT